GGGACGGCAGTTGGGATGCATATTTGTCTTTCCACATCCCACCCACCCTTTTGTGTTTTTTTTTTCAGGGGGGTTGGGGCAGTAATTGTTTCAAACTTTTACCTAAGTTCACCAGTTGATGTAAGGTCTGCAGATTACATACCTTCCTTTTTTTTAAATGATTGTCCTTGTTTTCTGTGACACAAGGGGGGTGGTGGTTTAATTCTGTGTACTGTTTTCATTAGTGTGTAGCAATAAACTATCGTTAGTTTATCCATGGAAGTACTAACCGTTAGTACCTTTCATGGTTTATCCTATAGCTGTTGTTGTGTCGTGACTGTGGGGGAAACGGGGGAATTTAACATTTGCACAATGTTTTGAATTGGCCAATGAGTTTCTATATACTTTCAGGCTGTGTATGTTCTATGCTGGTTATGATGTAGCTGATGAAATATAAGTATCGACAATAATGTAACTAGTATGTAACCGTGAATCATTTGTACCGTGGCTGTAACGATTGGGGGGGGTGGTCAATCAAAGCTTTATAGCACAGAATTGTCGGTACGATGTTCTCATATAGGCCTTTGCGCTTTTTTACGTTTTGCATGCTTGCGTGTGCGTGCGTGCGTGCGTGCGTGCGCAGTGAATGATTTAATCTTTCGGTACCAAACAGTAATGATACTACTTTTAATCACGGTTACTAGAAGAATTATAGTAACCATTTGTTGATGTAATATTCAATATATATATATAAATTGGCCGCCATTCGGACTGGGGAAACGTCTGAGACGTTAGAAAACTCCGATAAAAACACCTAAATGAAAATAAGTACACTGTTCTAGGAATTGTATTGATGAATTATATTGAATAATCTATGAAATTAAACTTTCATTACTAGTATTATGAGTTAATAGTAAGAATTTTTTTTTGCCAATAAATCTTGTGAAATTTGTGAAGGAGTTTTGAGCTCGGACACATGTATTCCAGATATGCTTCTATGGTGGGGATATTATATCCCGTTTCACGTCACCGTGGAATTATAGCCTCATGCATGTACATAATAAGTGTGGCCAAATTTTTAATATCAAGATTTCTGCCCACGTGATGCTGGCAATATAAAATGGTATTATACTGGAGAAAACGTGAACGTGGCGAAGAATTTTAAGCATTTCTTCAAAGAATTAAGGTTAACTTCACGAACGCTTCGTTACCATATTCAGTTCACCAGCGGCGATATTCGACTTCCGTCTTTCAGTAAAGAACTCTGTATTCTTAAACAAATAACACAATTTATTTAATATTAATATTAAGTTTTATTTTAATGATGTTTATAATATGGCTTGTTTTCAGACACTGACCTGCACTGTTCCAAAACTGCTAAATACGTGAAACCAAACGATCAGCGAAATTGGGAATATGATAACTATAAACATGGAGCTCCATGCTATAA